AAGAAGAAGAAGAAGAAGAAGAAGAAGAAGAAGAAGAAGAAGAAGAAGAAGAATGATAATAACAATAATGATAAATCGTGTATACAAGACTTCTTTTCAATTAACAGAACAATATTGACTACACAGAAATAGATCCAGTCATCTATCTATACACATAATATCATATTTTTGAAATTCCGTCACTTTGGCCGTCTAAAACTTCAGAACTACTTAACGTTCGAATTTGACAAAATTAATGGTGGTTCAGAATCATTTAAAGGGAGCACAGTTCTATTTAGGAGTCTGGTGTCACAGTAGTTTAATTTCAGTTTTTTATTAGTTTCGTTTAGATCTAATCTTGGGGAAAGTCCGTCTTCTAAGACGCCATTATAAACAAGTGAGGTTTCCGTTCAATAGCCGTACGCACTGTTCCACTCCTTTGAAATTCTGGAGTGTACAACCACAAAAGCGAAATAGAGAATCAACCTATACATCACAGTATCTAAACCTTCTAATCTTTCAGAATTTATTGCTCCATTTCAGTAGAGTGTAAATATAGTAGGCCAATGACTTGATGTTAATGCACCGATCATTCCTTTCATCAAAATAGGGCCAAGCTAGTTTTTGATGTCTTCGCAAAGTAGTCAGAAGTTGTTGTTTTTGTAGCTATTGGTGCTTTTGCTGATGTTACTGCTATTGCTGTTGCTGGTGTTTTTATATTAGTGATATTGTTGTTCTGGATTCTACTAGTATTCTTTCTTTGAATATTTCTTTTAGTGTAGTATGGTCTTCTATGGTGTTGAGGGTAGTTATGTCATATTCTTGGCACAGTTGCATTTTTTTCTCACAGAACTGTAGAACTAATTGGTCGCTTTTTAACAAAAAAGGGCTATCCCGAAAAATGCTGTTTTGAGAAAATTGAAGGTAGAGTTTTTGACCCTTGTTCCGCTTCTTTAAAAAAGACAAGGAGAGTTTTCTCTATAACCAAACAAATATATACACACCAATGAAACCAAACTTCTCCTATAGGTAGGGCAATGTCCACTTTTGGTGTAGGTCAAGATTTCTGGAAACTTCAGAAATCTGCGTTAGCCCGCTTGTTCTTAAAAACGACCAATTACTTGTTATATTTGACAAACCGACTTTCTTCCCGACAGAAATGAAAGAATTAAACACTTGCTATTTTGCCAGACCAACCAGACATGAGAATTCAAATTATATGAAGGGGTAAAAAAAAAAGGCAACAACAACAAAAAATAACCATGCGTTTATTTGTAAGAAATATGTGATTTACTATCGAATCCATACGACGTGGGGAACTCTGTACCACCACTTTCCAGAGAGGAAATTTACTCGTTAATCCGATCCGTACGCTTTGCATAGCAGTCTACCAAAACGATTTTTTGAGAAATTCTGAAAGTTTCAAAGAGATCTTCGTATTAGAAGTATTTCTAAAATGTGAAGAATACAACCCCGGGGGTACAAAATGACCCCAGGCGTACGGATAGGATTAACTTACAACAGTAGCTGCAAATAGATTATCCTTGAAGAATCAAACGAGGAGAAACAAAAACCCAACTAACTTATTGACAAACCCTTTTTTCTCAATAACAGCAAAACAAATTAAGAACAAGCCAAGACCATCCTACAAAAGTTTCAAATAGGCTTAGCCGTGGCAGGATAAATGTGACGCAATCTGTATTTTACATGTTTTTTTCTTTCTTTTTTTCTTTCTTTATTATTTTTTGGGGTGTTTTTTCTTGACCTTTTCATGTGGGTGGTAAGCGGGTGCTCTGGTGTGGTTTGCTTCTTCTTTCCTTCTTTCCTGATGACAAAACAGAAATCATGCCATGCTCAACCAGCTCAAAGATAAATGCTCTTGATGTAGAATATCTCACCATTGGCAAAGGTACTGTCTCTTTTTTAAACTAAGCAAAAAGTCTAGGAGTTTACTTAGACAAAGACTTGTCCATGGAGACCCAACTTAACCATCTATGTAAAGTTTCATACTTATAAATGAGAAGAATTGCTCACATAAGGAAATTTCTTAGCACTGATGCCACAACTAGTGTTTGCCTTCATTTTGTCACGCATTGATTATTGCAATTCACTGTTAGCAGGCCTACCCGAAGAAAAAATTGCAAAACTCCAACGCATTCAAAACAATGTTGCCAGGCTAGTATTAAAGCAATCAAAACGCCATCATGTGACTTCCCTACTAAAAGAGCTCCTTTGGCTTCCACTGAAAGCATGAATTGAATATAAGTTAGCCCTATTATGCTTCAAAGGTCAAACTAACCAGTCTCCAACATACATTCAAAAACTCATGGTACCATACACACCATCACGTGAACTAAGATCCAGTGTTTCTAGACTAATTTCAACACCTCGTGTTTCACTGAAGAAATATGGTGAGAGAGCCTTTTCTTTTTCTGGGTCAACAGTTTGGAAGACTCTCCCTCATGATTTGAGGAGCGAAATAAAACTTGATACCTTCAAAGGGGGACTCAAAACACATCTATTTAAGAAATATTTTAATTAATGGACAGTACGTTTGCCTTTTTGTATGAGCATTTTTTATTGTCTGAAAGAATGTTGCTGTCAAAAAGTGCGCACATGATGAATTTGTATGGTGTTAGTATGAATGCGTTTTTAATCTCCTATGTACGCCTTGGGCCCATGCTGTGGGGAAAGGCGGGATACAAATGCTATTATTATTATTATCAAACATCTGTCGTCCTTATCTCTCCTCCTTCTTTTTTGTGTTTGTTACTCTCCTGTAACATCTCTAATCTTCGGGGCTTATATGACCTTATTATTTGGCCGTAAAACTCTTACTAAAACTAACTGACCGTTCATGTATATCAACAGGCGCAGCAGACGCCAAGTCTATTGGCGATGGCGAGGAGTTCGAGCCCACCTTCCTGGAGTCTGTTGATCAAACTGACTGCGACCCAGAAGCTCCAACGACTACTGAACACCCATACACCACTACCCACCGATCCAGACCTACCACCAGTAGCTTCCCATACACCACTTCTAGCTTCCCATACACCACTTCTAGCTTCCCATACACCACCTCTAGATTCCCATACACGACTAGCAGAACCCCATACACCACTTCTAGCTTCCCATATACCACCTCTAGCTTCCCATACACCACTAGCAGAACCCCATACACCACTAGCAGAACCCCATACACCACTTCTAGCTTCCCATACACCACCTCTAGCTTCCCATACACCACTAGCAGAATCCCATACACCACTAGCAGAACCCCATACACCACGTCTAGCTTCCCATACACCACTAGCAGAACCCCATACACCACCTCTAGCTTCCCATACACCACTAGCAGAACCCCATACACCACCTCTAGCTTCCCATACACCACTAGCAGAACCCCATACACCACCTCTAGAACCCCATACACCACTAGCAGAACTCCATACATCACTTCTAGATTCCCATACACCACCTCCAGAACCCCATACACCACTAGCAGAACCCCATACACTACTTCTAGCTTCCCATACACCACCTCCAGAACCCCATACACCACTTCTAGCTTCCCATACACCACATCTAGCTTCCCATACACGACTAGCAGAACCCCAGACACCACCTCTAGCTTCCCATACACCACCTCTAGCTTCCCATACACCACGTCTAGCTTCCCATACACCACATCTAGCTTCCCATACACCACATCTAGCTTCCCATACACCACCTCTAGCTTCCCATACACCACAAGCAGAACCCCATACACCACCTCCAGCTTCCCATACACCACTAGCAGAACCCCATACACCACCTCTAGCTTCCCATACACCACTAGCAGAACCCCATACACCACCTCTAGCTTCCCATACACCACCTCTAGCTTCCCATACACCACATCTAGCTTCCCATACACGACTAGCAGAACCCCATACACCACATCTAGCTTCCCATACACCACCTCCAGAACCCCATACACCACCTCAAGCTTCCCATACACCACTAGCAGATCCCCATACACCACTAGCAGAACCCCATACACCACTAGCAGATCCCCATACACCACTAGCAGTGCCCCATTCATCACGACCAACTCTGGATTTCCCCGATTCCCTGTATACCGTCCCGGTTCTAAACAACAGCAAGAGGACCTAACACCAACGTTTGAAGAGTAACATGGACTTCTTGTTTCAACATAGAGAAGATTTGACATTCCACTTAAGCTTCTTTTTTTCTCGGTTTTCTTGTTTGGGTTTGGTTGTTTTTTTTACCTGAAAAATAAAATGCCAAAATGCTTGAAGAGTAAACGATAATCCAGATGTGCAGAAGGCAAATTTGATATTTCATTTAAGTTACGTACTTGAAGAATTCAAGAAAACCTAATTGAACGAAAGACAAGTTCAGTACTTCATTAAAGTGTTGTTTTTTTTCCAAATACAAACTGCTTGTGTTCTGAGTCATGACGTGAAAGTAAATGGGAGGGCGGGGAAGGGGGGCGGGAGGGGGCAAGGTTATATATTAACTCCACCACAAAAAGCTTCACCATTATCTTGCTACTTCTACTGTCTTGTTATGTCTTTGATTATTAATGATTGTTTGCCTTTATTTGTTAAGCGAACTGACAAAATGAGTTATTTCTCGGATTCAAACCTTAAGGAAATAGATACATCACGCTTACAGGTGAAGATTTTACAATTTATAAATATGAAATAATAAAAGACAGGTTATTAGTAAAAATAAAATATGGCATCAATAGAAAATCTACAAATTTGACCCTAATGTCGATTTTTGGGAAATATCTCCTTTTGTGGATTGCGAGAAGTAATTCATTTTGTCAGCACGCCTCACATTTAGTCTATTTCTAAGCAAATATCAGTTACGCGTTAGATCGGTTGTTAGGTATCCTGTTAGACATGACTCGGGTTCGAATCCCCGATTGATCAGTGTTGACATCAGGTTGTTTGGGGAGTTTGCAACTTTTGGGAGGTTTATCTAGGGAATCGAACTGGTGGTTGTTGTTTTTTTTGG